AAGGGCAGTTTGGAGTCCAGCCAACCTAACATGCAGGTTTTTGGACGGTGGGAGGAAGCCGGAGAACCCGGAGAGAACCCACAGACACAGGAGAACATGCAGACTCCACCCAGAAAGGTCCTGGTTCCCCCGGGACTCCAACCCAGAACCCTCTGGTCCTGGTTCCCCCGGGACTCCAACCCAGAACCCTCTGGCAGAAATGTCAAATATTCATATGTGGGTTCAAATATTCCCTTCAGAATATACTGTAATTCCTATAATTTGTTCCACAGCCCAAACACAGCCCAAATTCATTATAAAAGACCGATATAATAAAAAAAAAAGTGTTTTTTGTGTTTTTATTGGCACTTATTGGCAAACGGAGGTAGAGGTGGAGATAACTTAACTTACTCTAACTTTCACTACGTGAACTTTAAACAAACTTAGCTTATTTATTTTCATTAAAGTTTTATATTTCATATATATTTTCTATGACTTCGACGTCATACGTATGTTGGAAATTTACTTTGGGTGGCGATTATTTGATCGAATTTCACTTCGGATGTTGGAGAATTGATATGTTTAGGCATCGTAAGCAGAGGTTCTGCTGTATTTGCAGAAAGGAAACCAGATGTGAGTCTAATCCAAACCCTGTTTCTTCTGAGCCGAAGCTGGTTTAAAGTGGACTGAGAGCAGGGAGCGCTCGGCTGTTTGAGATGTGCACTTACGTAACGCACGGCGTTGCACATCTGGATCGGCTCCGGCCGAAAGGCGACCGACAGCTGCCGACGTTAGAACGAACGGCCGAGATAAGCCGCCCAAATCTGACAAGAAGGAGTAAACATTCCTCCTTAGAAGCTCCAACAGCTGCTCTGTTTCCAGATGTTTACAGACCGAAGGTTGGACAGTCGTAAACACGGACCTGCCTCAACTTTTTAAAACTCAAGCCTGCTGACATTTTTTACGGTGCAAGAAACAATAAGCAAAGAGAAATGCAAAGATTCTGTTTTGCTTTGGTGTTTGAAAGTATCTTTATAATTCCAGTTTATGAGGGTTGTCACAATACTAAAATGTTCAACTTGATACCGATTCTCAGGAAAATATTCGATACTCGATACCATTTAGTCCACATTTGGTTAACTTTTAGGCCACTTTTAGTCCACATTTGTTTCACTTTTAGTCCACGTATAGTCCACGTTTAAGAGACAATATGGAGAGCGATATGCAAAGAATCTTCGATACTCGAATTTTTGATACCACAAGGATAAAAACAAAGACCCCAAAATTTAACTGAATTTGGACAGGTTAGTGTCTTTCGTTTCAAACTTATTACTGATAGCTACTCATAACTATTACTGATGTTATGGTGGCCGGAGGCCCGCATTAATGTTGGTGTGTTATTATTAACAATTATCCATTAGCCGCAGCTAGCAATTCAAAGCTAACGTCACGTTAATGATCATAAACAACTAAACAATGTTTAGAAACAACATAACAACAACAACATAAATAAACCAGAGAGATGGGGTGGGGGTGGTATCGATACTTTTGGAAATACAACGTTTTAGTATCAATACTTTTTTGAGTATTGACACTTTTGACAACCCTAAGTCCCGGAAAGATCAAAGTCTGTGTCGGAATGAAGCCACAAGC